CCGGTCCGATATTATTTGCTTCAATCTACCCTTTCAGTTTTTAAGGAATGTAATTTTAAGTTATGAACGTTTTTAAAGCCAATCTCACTTGCTCGGCAAAGGCATTTTCTTATTTGTTGCTTCAGAGTGGTCAGGGTACTCGCCTTGTACTGTATTAAACTTTGAATAAGATTTCCGAAGACCGATGGAAATCAGACCTTATTCTCAATACTTAGGGTAGTACGAGAAGTCGTGTTTAATGCAACATTTTTCATCTCGCCTGAAGTAATGCTACATCAGTTATTCCACATCGTTAACTCCCGTCCCCTTTTAAAAGAGCAAGAAACGATTTTGGCAAGCGGATGTCAAAATTAAACCCATTTTAAAAAGGGAAAACGTCTGTATAGGAGACGTCCCTTAAATAACTACAGATGACCCACGCTGAACTGTCCCACCAAACTCAATGACAGGGGGGCGCTACCATCGTTCAACTATATGGTTTCCAAACATGGCAAAAATCGGAACCAGCGATCCGGTATTGACGGTGGCGCCCCACTGTCAATGTCATCGATAGGACAGTCCAGTATTTTGGAACTATATATAAGTGGTTTTATGTAATACCCTTACATTGGTATTCAACCAATCAAACGCTAAAATGTATGCTTATGATTGAATCAGGTTTCAACAGTCGTTTCAAGAGCCTCAAATAGAATATTAATGCTACTCGTGTCTAAATTCGGTACTCAGATGGGTTCTAAATCAGATCACATATGTTTGTGTCCTTGATAATTATTAACTTGTTTGTTTACGAAAGTTGCAATGTATTTTGGTGGCTTCCACGTAAATATTTTTCAGTGGAATGTCCCTTGGGTGTGTTCTATTTCACGTCCCAATTATTTACCTAATTTAAATTGCCTCCGTACCTACATAGATATACCTTCCCGAGTGTATTTACCGAGCCTGGTTGAGGTAAGTAATGAGTCAATACAAGGTAATTATCGATGTTAATTAGACCATATTAAATCCATTGCTGGCCATATTATGATCTCAATTAACAGTTCTTTTTTCTAGCTGCCATCATTCTTTACCACTATGTCAAACAAAATACTGTGGTATCGTATGCTTACAAGTATTATAACTTGTAAGTAATAGCGGTGACTTCTTAAAATGTGATGTCTAATGTAAGGGAACCAGCCTACATTATAAAAGCATCTACATTCTATGTAAATCAAACTTACAGTCCCCAGGTTCCAGGTATATTTAAATCTTATAATACCATTAACCCCTCCAGCTAACAATTGCGGTAGACCGGGCTCAAAATCTTGAATCGCCAATTCGATGCCGAAACCTTTTGCCTATCGCCGCTTCGAGTCTTAGTACTTATCGTAATATAAAATATCGGTGGTAAGTAGGTATACCTAAAAATAAAAAATATTCTACTTTCGTCTTATTACAGCCATTCCAAACATTCATTCTCTGGTATCATTTTTTAAATCTCAAATGAAACACAAGGAAAGGTCGATGAAGGCAAAAATAATTTCGCTTGAAGTCGTTCCGTTTTTGTAATATCGTGTAAATGCGACGGCGATTGGCGACCCAATTGGCCAAATTTGATAAAACGTTGGGGTTCCGCCGATGGGTTTCGGTCTTATATCCATTTGGGATGTTGTTATTCTGCGAGCGATAAACTTTTCAGCCTAAGTGGCTGTAAATGGAATGTAGGTGCGAGTGCTTAGGTACTGAATAGGGCCTTTAGGTAACCTTTTTGATCACAAGTCCACTATTGATGAAACTTTGGATTTCTAGACATTACAATAAGGTCTAGAGGAGACATCTAAAATCTTCACTTTATGACTTAGAAATTAATATTATTATAAGTTAAATTAATGAGATTCAGCAAACTCTCAGAAATCAGGGGATATTTATAATATCATATTCTAGAATTTTTTATACCTAAAATTACAGTAAAATTATAAAGTAGTAACTTACAAAGGAATCAATAAATTAGTGTAAAAAAAAACAGAAGTAAAACGATAAAACATATTTCACTTCAGTTGGTTATTATCTATTTCCTTGAATGAATAACAATGAAATTGTCACAAGAAGACGGGTCTCATGAAAAGATAACTTTTACAAATTACTGAAAAGTTATATCCTTGGCAATCGTCTGTCAAAGTAGCTGTTGTTTCTTCGCTTTTAGGCGGTTTTCCTTTGAATAACGAAAACAAATAGATATACAAACAATAGGATCTGTTCAAACTTCCAGAGTAATTTAAATTGAAATGGGAAATCAATAAATACGCGGTTTGTTCTCAGAAGCTTTGCAAGCAAGTGAAAGTCAAATATCTAGAAATAGGTAAACAATTCTCCTTCAAATTGTCTTCATTCGTTCGTTTCAGCCAAATGACGTCCTCTGCTGGACAAAGGCCTCCCCCCCCTTCCATAACGACTGGTCCTGCGCTGCCCGCATCCAGGTTCTCCCCGCGACCTTCACTAGATCCTCGGTCCACCTAGTGGGAGTCTACCCATGTTCCGGCTCGTTGTGGTCGCCACTCGAGAACTTTTCTGCCCCAACGGCCATCGTCTATACGAGCTATGTGCCTCGTCGACTGCCACTTGATTTATGCAATTTTACGAGCTATATTGGTCACTTTGTTTCTCCTGCGGATCTTTTCATTTCTGATTCGATCACGCAAGTAAACTCCGAGCATAGCATAAAATTGTCTTCAAGACAACGAAAATATTATTATGAAATCAGTTCATTGCCCACCACCTTGATTTATTAGAAGTGTCATGTTAATAGTCAGACTAAACTATTTGTAAGCCGAGGTATTTTATGAAATGAAATGTTCCAAGTAGAAAGACAATAAAAAATTATTTTAAAATTAATCGAGTTTCAATTTCAGTTGCTAGAAAAGACGCGAAAAAGAAGTTTTAAAAAATAATCATTTAAATATTTTTGTGTCCTTTCTTACTTGCTATTAACGTAAACGGTAGATAGACATGACATGGGCAAGGAAAAGCCTGGAAGGTCAGGAAAGGAAAGATTTTTCCTGCTTAGAATGGCATAAGAAAGAAGCATTTGAAGCAATTACGAGGGACAATTGAGGACCATAAACTACATTAACGAGCTGAATGTATTGCTATTATACGGAAAACTTGGGTTGTAGAGGACGTGTCTTTTTCCGTATATTGGCGTTGCTTGCGGTAAATAAAATTGACTTTATTAAATGCCTATATCTATCTAACTCCAACAGCCAAAATATAACAATGCTTATGGCGATAGACTTAAGGTCTAGACACACACAGCACGGCGGCTTGGTATCGGGGGATTTATTTTAAAAGAATCATGTCGACGACTTACCTATTCTATGATTTTTGTCAAATGTCGACGACTCACATCGGCAGGTCGGCGGTCCTGTTGGGTACAAAGACAACGAGTTTGGTGTGTAGACTGCATTAGATACAAAAAAAAAGATCATGGTAGTTTCTGTAGCAAAAGCTGTCCTTCTACGGTCTCACTTTCCATCTGCTAAGGACCAGGCCAAGAGCTTTCCTGGTTAAAACTTACCTTAAAGTTACATACTTTAAGCGATAAAGGCAATGTTATGACGCCTCAATCAAATCATCGACCCACCCCTGTTGGCTTCACAATACAAACTCGTGAAACTTTAGCTTCCTTATCAGATTAAAATTAGTAGGAACAAGCACGTTTTGAATTACAATTAGGATAATATCGTCACGCATCTACCTACTCCATAAACTTCACGCTCTAAGTAAATCAAGTTCCATTGAAATTACTACAGATGTATAACTAGTGGTTACCTACTTTCTGTACAATTAAATCAGTTGATAAGTTTGTGTTGTAGGGAAACTCCTGATGAATATAAAGCAGTAGGTATGAAATGTGTGTCCTATAAATAGCCAAAAAGGTTTTATGTACAAGTATAAAATCGATTTTCAGGCTTTACATCTAATCTTTAGGTGTATGCAATGTTGAGTTTCAAACATTCAGGCTAGGAATATGGTAGGTATGATAGGTCATTAGATTAAATTAATTTGATAATGTAATAAAAATATTTTTACACAAGAAGAATAAAAGTAGTACCTAAGTATCCTAAGATAAGAATGCTAAAGGTCGATTACTTCTTAACACCTATTAGTATAATATACTATACGATAAGTTGTCCTGAGGATTTTCCTACAATGTATAAAATGAAACAACCAATGCAAACAACAACAAATTTATGTTGAAAAATAATTTATACAACTGCATTCTTAGACATTTTATTTTAAATAACATTAAAATATTATTGTTTCTCATTTTAATTCATTCGTACGAAAATAACATTTCATTTCTATTACATTCACAATTATTTTGATGAATTTAAGTTTTAATTATTTACAAACTAGCTTTCCGCCCGCGGCTTCGCCCGCGTGGAATTTTGTCTGTCACAGAAAAACTTTATCGCGCGCGTCCCTGTTTCAAAAACCGGGATAAAAACTATCCTATGTTCTTTCCCGGGACTCAAACTATCTCTATGCCAAATTTCATCAAAATCGGTTGCGAGGTTTAAGCGGGAAAGCGTAACAGACAGACAGACAGACAGACAGACAGACAGACAGACAGACAGAGTTACTTTCGCATTTATAATATTAGTTGGGATATCCATGTTTCTAAATATTTTAACAACCAGTCAAAAGTATCTTTGTTACCGTCTTGAACATTATACCAGTGATTGTTCTATAATATTTGTACTATTGTTTTTATGGAAACAGTAAGTAACATCTGGTTTTTTATTCGCCATGAACACCTTGATCAAATACTTACATAAGAATTGAATTTGTAAAAAATATGAGAACATCGATAGTTGTTTTTGAGTTTAGTGTCGTGAAAATAAAAAATCTCCTTAATATCAATCAAAATACACAAAATAACCAAGAAAATTATAAGTTTTAAATGCCTGGGACGTCCTGTGTTTATAAAAAAATAAACCAACATTTAGTATAAATGTCTAAATACTTATACAATTTGAAGTCGTTAGTTGGGATTCATTATAATAACAATGATTAGAATTATAAAGATAAGAATATCAAATTTAATATCTTATGAATTTTATTAAAGTGAAAACTACAACTTATTAAGTAGAAGCAATCATACAAAAGCATGATGACTAGAAAACAAATTGAAAACTTGATACGGATTCCTTTACAATACTCTTACAAATAGAAGATGGAATAAAATTTATGTTATTATCACATCATACAAATACGCGTAATATTAATGTAGTACCTAACTCGTTATTTTATAACTTATAATAGATTAGCCCTATTTTATTGAGCATATCGTATAAAAAACGGCCAAATACGAGTTTATACTAGCATGCGGGGCTTCCGTACATTGTCATTATCGTCATCATCATCATTTCATAATAATCATAATAGGACTTTTACTGTTGAATATAAAAGTAAATAGGTTCAGTAAAAGTAAGTCTGAAAATATCTATAATAATGTTGCTATAGTTTTCCATTTCGAATTAGTAGGTACGGTAGCCCTAAAAAACTATCGAGTTTTAAATTGAAACTTTACACTTACGACTGAACTATTTTAGAGACTTCAAACTCCATCACTTATTCACAGCACTTCATATCTTATTCACTTCAACACTTATCACTGAATGTACCATTATAGCTGGTCATCACACACGTGGTAGTGTCTGTCGTCCCTGTCCCCTTTGGGGTTCATCCTCACTGCATTACCATTCGTGAACAGCTCCGTGGCATTCGAATGATCTGTCGACAAAAGAAATCGATTAGAGTAATCGACTAATTTAGCCGATATTAGTTTTCAGCTACGACGTAGTAGAGCCGTAGCGTGCTACGACGAACTCCGGTGAAAATACTACAAATACGAGTAAGCTTACATACGATCAGTTCAACAGGTAGTTAATGATTAGACAAAACTCTGTAGCAAAATTCCATATCCAGACTGAAGAATGACAGTATCATCCTTTTCTTACTGAGAAAATTAATCATAACTGTTTTGGTCGTCAAAAAAATGTCCACGTCGCTAGGTACTTAAGTTTTTTTTATCTCTAGATTAAATGAAATCACATTGTGATGAGTACGCAAACAATAGATTCGAAATCTATTTGGGTATAGAATATAATTAATTATACACTGGGGCTTAATAGGTCTCAGTATTCAATAATTGGGCAGAACCTAGATCATTAAAAATGTACCTAAGCCGTCACAGAATCGCTGACTTTCCGAAATACGCCAACCGATCTGTTTTCTCTCGGGATATAATCGTGTTTCCCAGCGGAATTCAAGCAGATTTCTCCGCTGATTCCTCGCTCAATTTGAATAAAAGCCTTAGGGAGTATGTTAATAATAGGCAGCTTTAAATTGTTTTAAGCAAAAAGCGTCCTATCGCGACATACAGGAACAACATGCATGTTCTGCTGTTGACTGATTAAAACAACAATTTCAATTATTAGAGGGGTTTGGTGGCAAGCAAGCGACCTTTGTAAAACCAATCTAACACTCTGCGAATACCTACAGTAGATTAGTATTCCGTGAGAGTTGAAATCACGGAAGTTTGTAGATCAGTCGCAAAAAAGGGTATGCCAAATGATGGTGTGGTGTTTATTAGCTATTGCTCATATTAAATTTAATTTCTTTAACGATAGTGTAATAAGACTACTCCTGCAACTTCAGTGAGCATGCAATTTGATCGGTCGCTTGTTAAAAGAAATATGAAACTCCAACGAATAGCCGTCTCACCATCGACTAATGATGGTTATTTTTAAGATGGATCGGCTCTTACGAGAAAATGGGGAGGAAAAGCATTTTGAGGGGGCCATTGACTTGACGATGCTTGATTTTTTTAAGCTGGTATTCAAATAACGTGAATCATTTTGTTTTGGTGTAGACATCATTTTAAAATTTTAACGATATTGTAACATTATATTTAGAAACATTTTACGCCATTTAAAAGTCAAAGCTCGAATATTCCCAGTAAAATCGTTATGAGAATATTTATCTTTAATAGATGTCAGTTTAAATCCCTTAATGAAACTGATGCCTGGTACCTGATCCTATTAAAGTTTCCAAGTTAATTGACCCAAAACTTTACGTGACACCTAATGGACACGCCAGTTAAGTCAAACTTAATGAAAATTAGGTTAACTAACGTCCGACCTCTGAGGCTTTATGGTATCGTCTCGGCACAATACTTTAGCATCAAGTACTTGTAATAAATGTCATTTTGTAAAAAATATCAAGTCCGATTTGCAGTCAACTGTAGCCAACCACTGACAAGTCAGTTGTATTTAAAAAAAAATGTCGATCATGAACTACGGTAGTTATTTAACCTTAACTAGTATCCATTTTTAGATAGGTATTTCTAAATATATATAACTCAAAGGTGACTGACTGAATGACTGACTGACAATTTGATCTATTAACGCACAGCCCAAACCACTGGACGGATCGGGCTGAAATTTGGCATGCAGGTCGATGTTATGACGCTAAGATAGGATTTTACGAAACTCCACCCCTAAGGGGGTAAAACGGGATCTTCGCGTACGAAGTCGCGGGCGGCCGCTAGTATAATAATATTATTCTAAGAAATAACAGCTGCATCTTTTATATAGAATTAAGCTAAGACTTAATTGGTTGAATTTAAATGAGTTCACGTGAATTGGGATTGTAAAAGATATTTTAAATTCACTTAATTTAAAAAAATTGCACCGAAACGTATTTTATTTTTTTTGTAAATTCTTAGAAAACAGTAAGTTTTATTCAAACACTGCTTTGTTTCTGAAGTTTAATTGAATATCCACTAGGTAGTTTTCGAATTATCTAGCTTGTCTAGACGTTTTAGCCAAAACTTTTGTTAATCTTAGTGAATAATATTATTAATCATTTACCACTGTAGATCAATCCTATAAAATGTAAAGTACCTATACCTACTCGTACATTATTGTAAGACAGAAAGAAAGAAAATTAGTTTATTCAGTTCATCAGATTGCATCAATTTGGTAAAATAATTTATTTTTAATTAAAATGGAAACCACCCAGCATGTGTCATGTAATTTTCAGCTACTAATATCGGTAAAACACTAACAGTTTCACATTCCACGTCGTAAAAGCCCTTAACTCGGGAACAAATAAACGTCTTGTCATAAAATGGGGTCAATACCACCCCTGCAGACACAAAATAACAATATAGGTATATTATGTTACTGTACTGGAACATTCAGGTCTTTTTGCTGAACAAATGTTCGTCTCGTACATGTACTTACGAACATTCAACGTTCTTTTGTTTTGCCTCTAATGTGGCTTTAGTGAATACGGGAAAAATAAACAGACTATTATACCCCATTCACATAATATTTTAGATAACAGAAATTTGAGCTCAGTGCGATTAAGTAAAAGTGCTTATTTTTAATTTAAATGCTTTTGTCTCATTTCTAAAGTTAGCGTCGCATTATTTTTTGTCATAAAATATAAAAGAAACACTTTAGCGAGACATTACTTAGTTTTTAAACTGTGCAAAACACTAATAATGAGCTTTTCCTTATTAATATTATGGTCTCTGGAAGAGCCTTTAATATCATTGAACTCTTAGTTATTTATCTTCACTCCAAATGAATAATTAAAGTATTTTTCCTCGCAAGTGTAGTGTTTATATTTTATTTTTCAAACGCTATAATACTTCGTCCACTGCTATTTAAGATCGAGGTCAGCATATTTTATGGTTCAATACTCGATACCATAAATAAACTTCTAATCGCGGAAACTCTATATGAACTCAACGACCATAAAACGAGTTTTAATAACACCCTCATACAGCAGAGGTTAATAATAAAACAATACACCTAATTACACCCTTCAACGAAGAAACTAATTGAAATGTACTTTATGATAAAAGACATAAGGGAGAATTTGAGACAGAACGAGCATGTATGTGTATATGTATTTCCATACAAAGTCACAAGTAAAACAAAGATACTTAACAATAAGGTTTAAGTACTTCAGTGAACTTCATGGTCTCATGGATAACGCTACGACTCAAGAAAATCCACTTCAATTCTATTAGCACAAGTACGAGTATAATGTTACATTGGTTACATTGTGAGTACACATTTCGCAACGCGTTTTGCAGAATAAATCCATCAAGAGCTTTAAATAACATTCGAATGTCTGTGTGACTCCAAAATTAGATAGACTTAAGTACAGTGAAATACTAACATGTTTCTAATTAGGTAATCTAGATTTTTTTACTTGGAAGAAAAAGCATCAGGACACAAAAAGATCTAAAGTTAAAAATGATAACGGTTCGCTTGATCGCTTTTTTCATTCAAAACATTTGTAAAGCGAAAGCAATAAATACGGGAAGCCATTTTGAAAGAATATTTTATGGAAGTCCAGCGGAGCATTCTCTGGCCTTCATGATTGACTTGCTTTTAAACTCAGATAGCCAATATAATTTTCAACCTTAGTGTAATAATTTTTTGTAACAAATCTGAAGAGTGAACATGTAATTAAATGTTTTGGAGATCCCATTTCTCTCGTTCAGATAAGTTTGACTTTTGAGGGTATGTAAATTAGCATGTTTATTCGATGCGCGCTGCTCTGAAGTACCGAGTTAATTATCAAGTTATGAACGTAATAAAATAATACGAAGTCTGCATTTCATTAATATTTATTAATGTATGTTTTAGCTACTATTGACGTCATCAAATCCAATGTGAGGACCAGGTCGTCGATACCAAGAAAACGCCACTCGAAGACGGAGGTTTTCAGTCAAATACAAAAAAGTGGCTAATAAAGAGTAAAAAATTTGGAACTTTCCAATTTTGGCTTTTCTATTACAAAAGATTGCCTACTCCTGTAGTATCTGGGGGCACGGCAGTGCCCCCACCAAGTCGAGAAAAAAAGCGGCACGGCCGTACCATCCTTTTCTCGAAGCAATTCAGGCCATTTTCGACCGCCTGTAACTTCGTTGTGGATAAAACTAGAAGGCTGAATTTTCATTAGCTATGCAGGCATTGTAAAGACACGGTATATTTAAAATTTCATTCAATTTTAACCAGTAGTTTAAGAATTATAACGGGTCAAAGTTACTTAATTTTGTCACTCACTGACTGACTCACCGATCATCAAAACTCTAAGGCACTTCTAGCAGACCTAGAAGCTTTAAATTTGGAATATAAGTAGTGTTTGGTGTATGAATCAAGGAAAAACTAAAATATTTGGGGGCACGGTAGTGCAACCGCCAAGTCGAGTAAAATTTTTCAATTTCGGTCCAGTTTTCTAGATACATAACTGCTGTCTACAAAATACAAAAAGAAATGAGATCCCATCAAAAACAATACTTGTCAAAAAAACCAAGTCTCGCAACTCAGTTGTTCTACGGTAAAAAGTTGTGAGATCCATGTAATACCAAGTCCAGGCCAGGAAATCTTTAACGTTTTACATAAATTATTGACTTGGCCATCGCATGAAAACACGTGTAAATTAAATTATTTAGTGCGATGGCCAAGTCAATAATTTATGTAAAACGTTAAAGATTTCCTGGCCTGGACTTGGTATTACATGGATCTCACAACTTTTTACCGTAGAACAACTGAGTTGCGAGACTTGGTTTTTTTGACAAGTATTGTTTTTGATGGGATCAGTATGACCCGAAATAGAATTTAATTACATGCTTTTGTTTTCGAGATAAATAAAAATAAAAAAAGTGAAAAGAAATGACGCGTAGAAATAGAAGAAAAAGGTCCATACCATGCGGTGGAAGTGACCGAGACGGGTTGCTCCGTCTCCTCGAATGTCATGCTCTGCTGAAGGAGGATACGTCCCGGTAGTGCCTCTGGCTCACTGCGAAAACAAGTTTTATTAGAAACTAGCTGACCCGGCGAACTTTGTTCCGCCTTAATGGCAATAAATAAGCAGACTTTTTTTTAATTTCGAACGGGATAAAAAGTATCCTATGTCCTTCTCCTGGCTCTAAACTACCTCCCTGACAATTTTCAGCTAAATCGGTTCAGCCGTTCTTGAGTTATAAGCGAAGTAACTAACACGACTTTCTTTTATATATATAGATAAGCACATGCACAGTAAAGTTTGAGAAAGGACAGTGGTGAAAAGCTAAAGATCTGTGACAAGTAGATAAACCCATAAATGATTGATACTAATAAGGGTATCAATACGTTTAGGTGTATCCAATCACACGCCAATTACTATTTCTAGTTCGGGAACAGCCTAGGGTAAGGGTTAATTTAACATTTTAATCTATCTCCGTAATCTAATGTAATTGTAAAATCTATTTACTTATATAATTTGAATAGAAGACCAAGACGTTAGCGCGAGTAACTTTAATTAATAATGTGTGTGATGATTTTAAAGTACTTAAGTATTCATTCATAAAAAAACATTGCAAACTGTTACCAGTAAACAAGTAGGTATGTACAAACATTGTATAGTCTAGTACGAGAACCACCCGGGCGGTGGAAATATAATAAAATGCTGTAATAAGACAGTATTGTACATAGTTTTTTGTACACCACACAAAAGCTTGAGACGACAGCTGTCATGAAATGAAAAGAAAAATTAAGTTGGAGCTCACTTTTAATCTAAGCTAAGTCAGATAAGTAATTCTACGAAGACGCTATTACTTTTGAAAGTAATATCTATTTATGGAAGTGAGACAATTACAGCCTACAAATGTTGAAGTTCGATATTACAGGGCTGCGTACTACTGTAATCGGGAAAATCCTTACTGGATTTCCCAACGGAAAAGTGAGTCTCACGTATAACGAAGATCTGATATAGTAGGGACAAGCTCTTTCAGCATGAGTATTGGCATTAGTAGAATACTTATTTGATATTTATAGCTGTAGGTATCATTTTTTATCCATGTATCTTTTTAATAGAGTTAGTTTTACGATGTCTTCATAATATGTTATTATTTAATGGTTAACTTAATATGACCTCCAGGCACCCTGCCTTTTGATGAGCACAGTTTTATGTCCTTAATCTCTTCTCATGAAAGAGATATCTAATACATTCTGTGTTTTATGGGGCCTTAAAAGCGCCTGGTAAACAAGAAGTTTAAACGTTTAGAATGACCGCGGAGTCACGTATTTTTTATGAATTTACAGCCATCTTCTTTGTAAGGAAAATAAAAAAACATTCGAATAATAAAATAGTAAATAATGATAAAAAAAAATTAGTGGCAATAACAGATAGCGATACTTGAGAAGTATATCTGGGCCAGCTCGCCTTACATAAAACATAGGTACAAGAGCTATTCAGCAACTTTTCTAAGATGAAGCACACAATCTTTACCTAGAGCCGGAAAAGTTCGGTCTTTTGTATAACTTCGTCAAGGGCGTGCGTGTAAAAAGTTGTATCTCTTGTTTCTGATTTATGTATATTCTAAATAGTTTTTTCCCTTGGCTTCACTCGTTTCGATTTTAATTTTTTACAGGAACAATATTACACTTGCGAAATACAATATAGTGTTAAATGACTAACATCAAATATCAAGTGATACGTATTATTGTAATTTATTGAATTTTACTTGAGGCTGGAAAGGTATGAAATTATAAATATCCATAGTGATTTACTTGCCGAGCACAGATTTAGTATTAACACAAACTTTGCGAAAATACTGTTCCAACACAAAATAATAAAATTAGAGTTGCCCAGAGCAAAACTTATTTATTGCTGCTTCTTCAGGCCAAATTGCTAAGTTGCCTGCTGTTGCCCCTCTTTAACATAAAACAGGTTTGAGAAATTTTGAACAGGGTAAAATACAAGTTAGTAACCAAACAATTTATTGTTAAGAACAAAAATTCGAATAAGATTTTGTTTTGGGTGCTAACCGAATCAAAGTAGAACGATGTTTAGGCAAGAAAATTAAAATAAAAGTTAATCATTTGTGTACATAGCTAAACAATGTTCGGGATACATTAGTACGCAGAGAGCTTTTAATCCCTCCCTTTGCACCCCTCCGGTGTCTATTTATTATCCTTAAAGTCCCACTACTCCGCGAAATAGACACGTTCGATATAGAACGCGACGACGCAGCGACGCATTTTCACGTCAAGCCCGTGTCTTTCGGAGTGAGATGAATACGCATTTGGAAATCTAAATAATACGAGTGACGCAAATTCGGATGACATTTGGGGAGATCTGCCGCATTTTATGTGAGGAAAATTGACGTGGAGTTATCGGTAAGTATAAATTGAAGTCTTTCTATAATGATGTAGAAAAAGGATTAGCCAAATTCAAGGGAGTAAATATAGTGGACTCTTCTCTATGGTATGTACGTTGTATTTAAAAAAAGCTATTTCGACTCGATTTTGAACCATCCCTTAAATATGGCACGTACTTTTTTCACACCCTGTATAGTCTTGACTTGGTGGATAAATGCAGGTTTATAAAATATGCAAATAAACATCCCACGTTCTAATAAACCTACGCCGAGTAGGGTACTTTTCTAAGAAGACAGTATACCTGGAAAATTTATGGATGGTCATTATAACTAACGACCTTCTTTTCGCAAAAAAATATTGACAGGGAAGCGAAAGGTTTCTGCTTCAATTTTTAATGTTTCCCAATATTTACAAAACGTTTTTTGTCTTCTTCATATTATGGGCTATATTCCCCTCATAAATCCCTTAAATTCCTTTAGTATGTGTACTACAGAACTTTTAAAGGTCATCGAAAACAATTTAACCAAATTCTCAAAGCGATAATATGTAGTTAAGCTTAGGTTTAAGTAATATTGGCAGATATTGCATAAACTGTACTACGTTGAATGAAGCTTACAAATTTATAAAGTTACTAGCAACTATAACTACAGCATTCATGACGTGATAATGTCTTCGAAACTTTTTAATGTAGAACAAGTTTAGTGCCTTACATTTCACTAGGAGTCAATTAAATATAAGTTATAGCAGAATCGAGTGGGGGATTAATTTTCATTGAAAATTAATTTAATTATTTTGTTTTTGTATTAATAAAATTTTATTTAAGTATATTATATGCAATTTACCTTCAATATTATATTAAATCAAAAATAAAATCATGTCACTTTCCACAATTCTTTTAGGTTTAAAGTAAAAAAATAGAGCTTTGGTTATAATACCCATCCGCTCCATTTATGTAGGACTAGCTGACCCGGCGAACTTTGTTCCGCCTTAATGGCAGTAAATAAGCAGACTTTTTTTTTAATTTCGAACGGGATGAAAATTTGGAATAATAATAAAATAATTTCGTTGTGGATAAAAAAAAGAAAAAAAAAAAAAGTGTCCTATGTCCTTCTCCTGGCTCTAAACTACCTCCCTGACAATTTTCAGCTAAATCGGTTCAGCCGTTCTTGAGTTATAAGCGAAGTAACTAACACGACTTTCTTTTTACTATATAGATTTGCGGAGGAGAATGTTTTAATGAATACTAAAACAAATACCGTACAAACAGTGGAATTGAAATTATAAAAATTTCACGTTGCTATCTAAAATAATTTCCTTTGATGATTAATACATAAGTATGGTGCCGTTTTTACCCCTTACCCTTTAAATTAGCCCCTAAGCGTAATCGTGTCAGAACACCATTACATATTTTGTTTTTAAGGCAGGACTTTTAATTATTTCCCTGAAAACCGTTGGAAAAATTCTTCCATACAAAAGTTAATCGCCTCTCGACCAAAATAATTTACGTTACGAAAAAGGCAAAGACTTCTTACAATAAAATTGTAATTTTAGGCTCAATGACAAAATTCCTTGCAAATTGCTTTAATTGTATCTTAAAAAGCTTCTTTGTGGATGTAAGTGTGTTTAAACCTTTTTCGATTGTCGAATACTGTGTGCCTACCATGAGTTTACGTTAGGTGTGCTCGCTAGCGACTGCGTAAAAAAATGACATTTAAATGTATGACATATTGTGCAGCGCCCCTAGCGGCTACTTTCAAGAAATAAAATCTTCATAGAATTTTTTGACGTATTCGCTAGCGAACTCACCTAACGTAAACTCATGGTAGGCACACAGTTATTTTATGGACAAAAGGTGCTTACCTGAAAATGATTTGTTCATTTCTAATTTCTTCAAGTCGTTCGGTGTCGCCGACTTTGTTGCCCAACAGAAACATAATACCACCCGGAAGTAGATACGAAATCTGAAAAGAAAATATTGATTGAAATTTCTTGGAATTCTTTTCGCTTTTTGAAACAAAACCCTTTGTTATGAACATAGATTTTTGTATTCAGATTCATAATCTCAGCCTTGTTAATATCAAAACAAGCAATTTAATAATAAAGAGTGTTTTTCTTTAAATTTGATTAAAACGTGCATTCTCTCTTTGTGCAAAAACCGTATACAGATAAACCGCATCGCACACCAGACTTCATGACAGCATGTTTATTTACTTATTTCAAAACAATACGCAACCTTCTCCATTATTTTTACTTCATTAACATAGCTCAACTCATTGAATTCATGAACATAAAAGTTTTCTTTGAATTGTTCATTATTTAGTTATTTATTTTACACGTGAACAGTTTTATTTATTAAATGTTCTTTTAGGAATTTATTTCGATTTCAGTCGTTTCTTCTATAAATTATTATTTACTATTTTGTATCGTAACTCTACATGTCCACTGCTACAGTAACAAAATTGGATATTTGTTACCTATATCTCTCCATTGCGAGTCGCCCGTTTTCACCATTAATCCCTAATTTTTAAGTGACCCCTATGGTAACAAATAACAGGCATTTTGTTTTCATAGGGGTCACTTAAAAATTAGGGATCGATGGTGAAAACGGGCATTTTTTTATCTCATTTCTGTTTTATATCACATTACACCTTCCCTATAGGATCAGATCAAAGTTTTAGCCGGATTGCGCACATTCAAATTCGGAACTGTAATTAAAGCAATCACTGGGGAAAATTGTAAAAGTTTCTGTTAACGATCAATCGGGACAGCGGAAATGGAAACGGCCGTGAAAAAGACAAACGATATAAATGTAGAAAACATCAATTCTTAATTTTCGTTGACAGCTTAATTGTTGGCCTTTAGGATATTAAGGCTGAGTTACACCACCTAACTTGGACCGTAACTATTACCGTGGTAACTATAACGATAACTGGTGTTTTTTGTATTTAGTTTGACAGATTTTTGACGTTTGTCAAAGTTAAAATAAGATCGTGCAACCAAGCCTAAATTAATACTTCTCCCTGCTTCCGATAGCATTATCATTTAGACCTACTTCCTCAGCAACAGGCATCTAAACGTATTGTTTACCTTTAACATAAACAAGCTTATGAGAAAAGAATTTCAATTGCTTTCAAAATTGAAATCAGGCAAAAAAAAACAAAAAGTTTTCTGTGCAAGGCGCGCGGCCAAAGAATTAGTTCGTCTTCTACAATATTTGAATGCTTTCTTTGTTGGGAAACCTTACTTTACTGAAATGCCTGAACATTAAAATAATTATGGTTTGTTTAAATAAAAAATCCAATAGTCGGTACTTATTGGATTTTAGATTTATTTTATCAAACTCAATATGTGAAAAACATCAGTACTGTCGGTTGCTACGAGATTCAATGTCAATTTACAGAAAAGAAAAGATTTATCAGTCCTTTGATCCTTCTGAACTGACTTACAGACCCCTTTTTATAACACTTTCAGCGTAAAAAGTTGCAGCAAAACGTTGAACGTCGTTTCCACAGGGACATTTTGATTAGAAACTTGTCTCCAGATACTAAAGGCTACAAAAAGCAATATTGCTGGTTCTTACAGCCCCAGAATATACTCTGAAATATATAATTTATATCGTAAATTTTAAGTTATGAGCAGTTTCAGTTTATGTTATTAGTTATAAGCTGTTCAACGTTGAATAAACATTATTAAATTAATGAATTGCTCAGTGAATTCAGTATTTAAACCTGCTACTTAGTTCAATAACGATTAAAACTCACGCTCTTTGATACCATTATGAAAATTTTTTATCATGTTTATGAGGAAGGTTTTCAGTAAATCAATAATACCCCAGTGAACAAAATCAGTTATGCGTTATTATTGCTTGTAAATAAAGGCATTAAATATGTAAGTATTAACGCGAGGGTGGATAGAGTAAAAGTGACATTATTTTAGAAATTTTGTACCGAACCGATAAAAGGGATGCATCAAATACAGATTTGAAGATGTTATTAAGAGATTGAACTCGGCTACTGTGCCTGAGGTCGTAAGTTCAAGCTCATACAATAGCTGTATTCATTTAGACAATAAACTGCGCTGTATATTTCTTCTTTATTTTTATATGAATCTGCTAGTCAGGGTAGTTTAAAATAGTCTAAAGCCCGTTTCCTTCATCACTTTGAACACGATAGTCTTGTTTACCTCGAGGATTACGTAACCTCAGCCTGAACGATCTTTATTAGAGAATACCCTGACTTATAGCATAGACTAATCTCTGCTACCAGAACATAGATCAGTATCTTATGTGTAATCCTTTGGCGCGTCTCCTATAGGGTATTGAGCAAGCACACACCTATGTCATTTATACAGACATGCTACAGAAAGACTAACAAAATAAATAAGTTTTTACATTACTTATTCTTACTTATTTTACAAGCTTTTATTTTGATGACTTCATTGAAATTTTATTCACATTCAAACACACCTACAGTGCCTATATTGAAATTGTAATCCGCTTATTTTAAGTAAAAAAATATACTGTAAACAATGAAATTATTTGAACAATTGCCGCACTACAATCTACTACCTACGTAGATATCTACATTGAATCTTAATCGTCGCGCAAAACAAATAAATACTAGGAAAAGTAACAGTATTTCATACTGAGCACTAATTATCAAAGGCTTTCAGAAAGCACTTACCGATCGTGTAGCTACATATTACTACTCGCATGTTATTGCTAGAGTTCCGGAATGGACCATACCAATATTTTGTTGTACTGAAGCAAGAAATATTTATAGTTATTTTAAAACTAATCCAAGTTTTTTTTATGCATGACAAAGCAGGTATTTGACCACAATCGCACCTGGTGTTTAGGTTTTTACATTCTAGGATGGTACCTACATATCTGCCTTGTAAGTGCCTATTCACTATCGCCTTGAAAAATCCTGGATGAAAAGACAGCAGCATGCAGCGAATTCCAGTCTCTTGCTGTTCGCATTTTAGAATACTGCTGCCAGTCATATCCTCGGTATGGGCATACCGATTAAGTAGGTACCTAATTTACTTTTCTACTTAAGAAAAATACAATAATTAACAGGTACAATAATAATAAATGACGATGAATGAAATGAAAATTAGTTTAACACATTAGCTTCTACAAATTACAGTTAAAATTGCAATGTTTTATTTATTAATTGCTAATAACACAGGAAAATGTTCAAAAATAAATATTACTTATTTGCAATGTACGCACACGAGCAAGACAGCTATTTATTAGTAACAAAATAGTATCACGACTATAATTGTTATGATAGCATAGCACTTCCTGTGTGTCTAAGAATTAATGATCCGGTAAAACAAACAGACCAATAAACATAAATAATGTGGGAGATATGACTTATGTTCATTAGATATCTCACTAGCTACTAAGAAAGTGATGTGGCTTGCAATAAATGTTTTATATTTAACACTACACTCCTACTTATTTTATAACAAAGTCCTCGCCTCGTCTATTTGTCTTTCTGTTCATGATAAACTCAGAAACTATAGAACGGATTGTCATGTTGTTTTTATCAATAAATAGAATATTCAAGAGGAAGGATTGGATATTATGTCAAAGTCTATGGCATAATATACTCTACTACATAATACTACCATCATAATCTGCCTGCAATTTCCTTATTTTCATAGCATGGCACAGGCAAAGCATGATTTCCCTTTCTCCATAAATACGTCAGCCGTCATCGATTCATAAAATCCCCTTTCAGTCATATCCTCCTCACACAAAACTTCCATTTCCTATCGATTGTCCCTTTCCCCCATACTCACCGTCTTTCATACATACAAACATAATTCATCACTTTCGGCGACCTTGCTTCCATTTCGACTCATCACAGATGCCATGCCCATGCTGTCAAACTTTTTCCTTTCCTTTCATCTTTCTATTTGTACCACTTTGATAATATTTATACTTCCTCAAATACTGATCTTGTCCATTCATGTCACGCAGACGCCCCACCTTAATATTCTCAGACAAAATACTTTGATTTTCTGTGATAAACGTGAGCGCAATTGGCAGATATACCTTAATGGTGGGCACTGCTTCATACAATGGTGCTCATTTGTGCTCGACTGAGCATTCATCTGCAGCTGAATAATATATTTGTACACAAAATCTACTTAATCATTACACGAGCGACCTGTTCATGGAAATTGTAATCGATCTGTTTTGCATCCATACTGTAATTGAATTTCTCTGACGTCTGTTAAATAATTTCGTAGTTGAAGCATGTCGAATTCCGTAGTAATGACGTGATTGGGGTATTTATAATATGAATCCTAAATTGTAAACATCGAGGAAAAAGTCGTAGATTAAAATAAATGTTGTTGCATATTATCTCAGTTATCTAGTCCTGCGAGGTTTCTGGTTAGGTACTTATTCATATTTTTAGTTATTTTTAGCGTGTCCCAAAATAGAATAGAGAAAGAATATTTGGACAAAAATCACATAATATTTCACGCTCTACTCAGTCGAAGCAATAAAATTCATACTTTTAAACTTTCCCACGTAATCGCCATAAAACTGGTTTTATGTTTTGTGAAAAATTGAATAACTATCGATCTGTTTTGCACGTAACGTTATTGAGTTTCATTTGACGTGTGCTGCACAGTTTCATAGTTGAAGCATGTCGGAGTCCGTTGTATCCCACTTGATTGAAACTCCAAGTTAGCAATAGTGGCAGTAAGTTTTTGAATGCACGTGTACTGAGACTAAGGGCCTTGATGTTCGTTTGTTTGTAAATCCTAGAAATCAACAATGCTCTGGAATAATTCATCCGAGGGTTAAAAACATTTTTTAAGCTAAGCTATAACAAACACCGTGTCAATCTCTAAGGAGAATCCAGCCAAAAAATTCACGCTTTCGAATTTAACAACTGGTTAAAATATAATAAAACTTATTTAAAATCTCTGGATCTCAGTATGTTCGGTAGGTGATTCTCATTGCTATGGATAGTACGATCATCATAATATGCCACTTTAAAGTGAAAACAGTCGTTCAACGCTGTTTTACATACAAATAGGTGTATTATTTCTTTGCAATTGCAGCTCGCTGAAATGCAATTGGCTCGTTCCACCAACCGCCAGGAGTGGACTTATTTTCATATGATTTTAACGGCTATTCCAAAAACATGATAATGAGATACCTACTTATTATGTGACAACGTTAAATGTGGAACAAGGATACTAAACTCATAACTTGGTGAAGTAGATAATATAACTTATATAGATCAAACTATAATCGTCTCACAAGATGAAGATAGCCGAAAACGTAATTTCTTACAAGCATTCCGCAAGAAAACTTCCGAACAATACGTTAAGATTGATTAAGGGAGGCTGTAATATCCCTAAACGATTCCATACAGTAAAACAAAGCATTGCGGTGATTCATCATTACTATTCGCAGATTTACACTCATTGTTCTTGGGTTCCATTCAAGCAGCCAGGAAATCTGGAGACGACAAAAGGACAATGTTCGTTCTCCATACATTGTTCGCCTAAAGAACCAACAATTTTGACATTTTACTACCCGAAAGCGAAATAATACGATTCTGTGTGTAAGAACAATGATTCCTGATGGACACTTGCCATAAAATTAATGATTAAGAATATTAAATCACAGCGATTTTATAATATGTCGTTTATGACAACATGGCGTCTAATGTATTGTGTGAATGTATGAACACCGATTCGCGAAAAATGTTTTGTATTGTCGTCACGCCGAGTCGCAGCCAAATAGTATAAAATAATAGAACAAGTTTTAGAAATACAACTCGGCATTCCACTTTTACAATATGCCCACATATTGCACGTAAATAAACAACATGAATCGTAGGTTGTTTCCACCCTTGTCATCTGACACATGAAATAAACTCCTATTGTATTATAGATATCGAAGCCGAATCGTATATAATAATNACATGGACTCCCAGCAATAAAGTACGGTAATGCCTCGTACAGATTTTATCGGCAAAAATTATGGAACTTGATAGGTTTTAGACCATGCCACGCACCAAAACGTCAGGGAGTTGTAATAGTATTATAGAATAAACGTTAAAAGACTTATTTATTTAATTTTTCAATGCTTAAGTGTCCATTAGAATGAAAGGGTGCTTAATGTATTAAAAAAAATAGAAAATAATTATGATGGGTTAATGTTTTTGGGCGGTTTTTTAGGCGGTTTCTGACAATGTCCTTTGCCAACAAATCTCAGTGGTGTTTTCCTAAGAAGCTTTCAATGTACATAGAACATGATACTCTTACGAATTATGAATAAATAACAACAATACTTTTTAGTATTCAATCATAAATGAGATCGTTGAATATCCCAACGTGATATTTTTCGTGAAAGGTCTCTTAAAGCCGTCGTGAATATAACAAAGGTAACAAATAATTTTGTATGTCATCACCGTCATACACTTTGCACTAGATGGAAGTTTATACTTAACTTTCGCCTATTTTCTTCTGATTATTACAAAGTGAACCCAGTGAAAGCTAACCTGTCCCCTGGGACCGATTAAACCTTCACTCGTTGCGTTTAATTTACGGTAGCTGTAGATCCTAACTACAGAAGAATTGCATGCATTTTCATTCTAATTATACAAAGTACAATGATGATGCTCTATGTTCATGTACGCAAGTTTTTTAAAGACCTAAACTTCCGAATATTATGGAAAAACCTCCTCTTTAAAAGTAGGTACTGGCTTAAAGCACTGGCTGTCTTGCTTTTGGCGTGGCCTCTTTTGGAACAACTGATTGAAATCAAGAAGTCTGAAAGCACGGCATATAAAGCAAAATGGTGGTCTTAAAAGTATAATCTTGAAAAAGTTATCTTATCAACAACCTCCTTTGAGCTATAAAATTTTATGGCTTGAGACTTTCTCTGGTCTCGGCTTATAAAGATGCCTGTCCGAGTGATTTACAGGATTTTCGCATTCTTAAAATGCAAATTAAATGAAACCATTGGTTTTTACAGCCCGTAAAAGGGGTTTGGGTGTCTTAATGTCAGGGATAAAGAGGTGTTTGAGTAATTATTCTCTTGCAAAATTTTCCTTTATTTATTCTTTCTTGAAATAGAAGGATGCTGACTGATATTAATGAAGATTTAGGCATACTTAAGTGGCGGGTGCTATTATGTAATATATTATGTAAATCAAAATTTAGTCGGCTGTTTGGTGTAGTGGTTCGAAACGGACTACTATTCCGGATGTTGCGGGTTCGATTCCCGCACAGTACAAACATTTGTGTGCATGAACATATTTGTTTGTATTGGACTGGGTGTTTTCTATGTATAATATGTATGTATTTACAAAAAAAAGTATTTAAGTATGTTTATATCCGTTGTCTAGTACCCATAGTACAAGCTTTGCTTAGTTTGGGACTAGAAGCGCAGTGTAAAATGACCAAGGATATTTATTTAAAATGAAATGAAATAAAAAATGGAAAAGTACTTACTTATTACTCATCCAATAGTAAATGAGTGGGTTGAACATAGAATTGGCCATGGCTAGCCAATAGAAGCCCAGGTATATGTGCTGGGCGAACGGCGCTGATGCTAGACTCTGGTGGTGGTAGACCAGCACGAAGTAAGCGTGGTAAGGTAGCCAGCACAGCGCGAACACCATAACGACGAGCACGAACATTCGCACTACCTGCAAACAAGAGCGAATATTATTGATACTTGCATGACAAGCTCCAAACTGTAGGGTGTGGTGTAGGTAATAGAAGCGATGAAAATGTAATCTCAAGCCTCTTCTAAAAGATAATAATAAATAACCTTCAACAACTTTTTATTACGCGTGAAAGAGGATTTTCCGACAAACGAGGCTCTAATACATTGATTTTTACCTCCAATATTTTACCTACATCGAAATCGTTTGCGCCAAATTACGAATAAATTTTAATAAACCTATGTGTTGCTCGAATTAAGTATATTGTAGGACACAGACCAGAATCCATAAGTTTATGACAAAAGTAAGTACATACGAAGGCCCTTGAAAAGTACAACTGCTACGTGTTTGGGATACAGCTTCTATGAGGAAAATACAAACTGACTTATACCTGACATAGGACTATGTACAAACCCTCATAAATCTTAAGGGAGACGTTTTGGGTGCCTTTTTTGTTTTCTACTTTACATTAAGTGAAAGGAGATGGTACTTAGCAGCAAATAATATTTGTAGCACTTACTCCTTTAAATATAAATAACATGAATATTACGAAAAAGGTAGTAATATTTTTACCCATTGGTTATTCATTCATTTACAATTGTATGTTATGTGAAACGCGGTTTGGTTAAGATTCAAATAGTTATAAGACGTTGCATCAGATTTAACCCACTTACTCCTACCAGGTGTTATAACACCGCTAAAAAGTAGTTCGGAATATCCTCAGATAAATTATAAAAATATCGAGAATTTGTTTACTGTTCCTTGTATTTTCTCTTCATTACGAATCAAGCTGTAATTGAGTATGTTCGATATCGCATATTTGCTTTATTTTGTTAGTTTTTTATTATTTTGAATTCTGTTATTTAGTTTTGTGCAAAAACGTCTAATAAATGGTAAGATATTTCATAAACTTGCTATTAATGCCTCAGATTATACTAGTTATTATTTTATGTAGTACTGTTTGCTACAAAACAATAAAAATATGTTTTTGAAAAGCTTTACATTTTTGAGACTTTTTATGACAAAATTACGATCGGTGTTTTAACACCTGGTCGCATAANTTTTTTTAAAAGTAAGACGATATGAATCTAATGATGCCTCCAATGCAGTTAGTTCTTCTGCCTTGAAAGTACCTACCGCAATCACAATTACAACAATACAATATAGTTCAAGTACCTTCTGTGAAAGTTCTGTGCCAAAATGTCTAAAATATACAAGGCAAAGCAGTCATACTCCTAAACAATATTTATGAAGAATGGCACCACAACCAGGGTCCACGGAGCTTACATCCCTCCCTGTGTACAACTTTACTTACGAGTACTACACGCAACTGACATGTAAAATTTGCAAGAAAAAATCAATTTGGTGTAAAAAATGCGCCACGCACTAAAGCATCCTAGGCTATGATTTATGTCTTACCATATACAATAGCTCTGAATAAGATTTTGGTATTTTTTTAGTAAATGAGTATAACTTACAACTCCTTTTTAACTCTTAAACCTAACAAAATCATAGTATCTTTTTTTCTCATAGTAGTAGTTGTGGTAGTAGTCCATTCTCCGACCAGGTGTTTAAACACCACCCATTTTCCGGCTTTTCCAGTTGACCAAGAATTTTTCTAATATTTTTCTGTGGATACTTGACCTCTATTTAGAAACATACTAAAAATTTATAAAAATTGACAAGTATAAAAAGTTTCAGGAGTATCTGGGTTAAATACCTAACTGATTAAATATAATTCCTAGTTTCAAAGATCACAAATAAGAAAAACATAACGTAAGTAAAAGAAGGGCTGCTTTAGTACAACAAAATGATGATCTCAGATACTATTTGATTTTGTAGCTTACTTATTTACATGGGCATTACCTACTAGACTAGAGCTTACTTAAGTAGGTACCATGACCGTCAATATACTCATCATAAACACAAAGAAAGAACATACAGGGTGACTGGAACTGAACCCGCCATAGCTAATACTCGTATAGAGGAGGTCATTTGCTAATTATTGAACCTTGCTTTCTATGACTAAAGTTTTATAGTTTAGGAGATATGACAATTTTTATACTTGTTTCAGATTTTCCCGAAATTTGACCTAAAAACTGCTTAATTTTTTTTTCTCGCATGATTTTAACAGATTTTTTTATTTGATACTAATATCGAATAAACCTTTAGTCAAATAAAATAAATTTCAGATCTAGATAATCATTCAATAACTAGTTACGAGCCGCCAAAGTTCAACAAAAGTACAAACCACGATAAAAAATTCAAATTCGATTTCGATTTAAGAAAAAACTAATGGTGATAATGGATTGCCAATGATCTTAAAAATATCTCTACCTTCTCTTCTTTCCAATGATATATGACACGTAGTAATTAGATATTGAAATTTATTAAAAATTCAAAGTTTATGGAAGAAAATGGAGTAATTTACGAAAATTATCCATACAAAGTTTCTGCAAACAACTCATATTTTCTGCTATACTCCTTTTCATAACTATTTTCGTGTTTTTTTGAAAAATGAATTTAAAAATAATAATCACATTATAAAGAAAAAAAAATAAAAAAATTCAAAATCAACTTTGTATGGATAATTTTTGTATTATTACTCCATTTTCTTCCATAAACTTTGAATTTTTGATAAATTTCAATATCTAATTACAACGTGTGATATATCATTGGAAAGAAGAGAAGCTGGAGATATTTTTAAGATTATTGGCAATCCATTATCACCATTAGTTTTTGTTTCAATCGAATTCGAAGTAGAATTTTTTATCGTGGTTTGTACTTTTGTTAGACTTTGGCGGCTTGTAACTAGCTATTCAATCATTATCTGGATCAGAAATTTATTTTATTTGAATAAAGACATATTCGATATTAATATCAAATCAAAAAAACTGTTGAAATCACGCGAGAAAAAAAATTGAAGCAGTTTTTATGTCAAATTTCGGAAAAATCTGAAAAAAGTATAAAAACTGACATACATATCTCCTAAACTATAAAACTTTAGCCATAGAAAGTAAGGTTCAATAATTAGCAAATGACCTCCTCTATACGCCTATTAGCTATGGCGGGTTCAGTTCCAGTCACCAGTGTATATGGGATAAAATTTTCGGTGTAACAAACCTAATCGGATTAACCTTTTTCGGTTGATATAGGTTTATGAATCCTTATTGTTGGGGAGACCAGTTTTGAGAAATTCGTCCTTACGTTTTAGAACCGCTGAGTCCGTAGTTTTACTTATCATGAAACGTTTTTCACTGGAATCTATCAGTTTATGTAGGTCTACAAGTCTTGCAAATTGATATTAAACTATTATTGACAGATGATGATAGAACTGGAATGTGGAATCCAAAAGTTAAGTTAAAATTTAGCTCTAGCTAGCTCTAGCTAACTCGATAGCCAATTTTAAGTAAAAATTGGCTATCGAGTTTATGAAGAAACTCGTTCATGAGTTAGGTACTATATTGTGTAAATAAAATTCAGATAAATAAATCTCTTGTTTATTAATGACTTATCTACATAAATGTCAAGTCATTTGTGTCAGTATTCAACCGTACCACATAAAACGGTTTACGTTTATGTCAACGCTGCAAACCAGGTCATATCCTTCTCAACGCGCACAATGGAAATAGCTCCTTCTGGGTACCCATCATTAGTATGCCGTACCTATACTAAAGTTTAATGCATGCTATAGACTCACGAACGATTGTTAAGTAGATAGACCACACAAAATTGAGTAGGAATGAAAAAACTGTAAAAATAAAACGGCACAATTTAGGCGGTGTTACATAATACTCATAGTTAGAAAGTAATCCTTCCTAACGAACCAGGGAGAGATGATGATGATGCTAGTGTTAGACTTGATACTAAGTTAACCAATAGGTCCAAAAACGTAACGTGCTTTCCGAAGTCACATTTTTTAAGTACTCAAAATAACTAAATGGTTTGAATCCGAAATACAGAAAATTATTAACAATGTAAAATCTTATACCCAGAACTTCAAAGTCTAAAGTATCTCAGCTCAGTCTCAAATCACTAGACCAAAAAGGCGTAATGAAACAAATTTAATAATACCTAAAAGCAAAATACTCGTACTAAGTAAGGCACTCTAAGTAGTAACTCTCATAATAAGGAGATAGAAATTGCGAGAGTTATTGACTAAGTTGACAAACTTCTTATCGTCACATTTACCGCTTATCCCACAGTTATAAACTAAGAGCGATAATTTTCCTACAAACAATACTTACTTCGCAATTTATACACATTTTCAGAAACTTGGTAATGGAGATGGTTATTTTGTCAGAAAGACTAAAAGTTTTTCGTTAATAGTATACTCTGTAGGTAAGTAGGTATACATATTTTTAAACAACCTCTATTATTATTAAACGTTTTCGACAATTATGGGTTCAACAGCAATATTCTGTCGGTTACCGTTTTGAATCTTGATTGTGTGTAATTTTGTGTTAATGATAGAAAATAGGTCTTTTACAACTGAAACTATCATTATCAACTGCGTTTAACGAATAAAACTTTACGGCCAAATGAAAAAGAACCATTTTAGCGTGAAACTCGCATTAAGTAAGTAATGCGAAAGTTAAATTAAATTAAAAAGCAAATACAGAGTTAGGAAACGCAAACATTTGGGAATAATGACCAAATTACAATGTCGAGTGAAGGCAAGGTTCATTAAGGCTTCCTCTATATTAAGCCGGGTACTCACTTGCGAGACCACTAGACACGGTAACAAAGTCCTGATACGAGCATAATATTATGTGCCCGAAAATGTATCTTGACATCCACCGAGCGCTCTAAGGCACTCAGAGCAAACTGTGACTGCGACAGACCTGGATATTGGCCACGTAGGTATTTTTAATTAGAGCATTAGGGTTTGATTTTGCATGAGAGATCACACCAATGGGGACACGCATTTCTACACGATTTTCGCAAATGTATACAAATTGGATCTAAGTAATATTGCTATA